AAAAATATTAAAAAATGGTGCTTGGTTGAAATAAACTAGAACCAAACAATTGCAACTTTTTTGGTTCACATGATAGCTTATGCATAAAAATAGCTCAAATAATCATCAGATGAGTTATGTCAAAAAAGGTGACTGCAGGAAACTTAAAATTTGTGAAATAACCTAAAGCCGAAAAGATATATCGATGTCAATGACCGTGTGCACTTTTTTTGCACTAGCTACACTTCTTTTATCAATGGGCCTAGATATGTTCTATTCGGCCCTGCCTAACTTCTATATGGGCCTGGCCTTTTTGGGCAACGGGCTGTGGACGAACCTTTTTTTCCTTTTCTCCCTCTACCACTGAAACTGAAACTGATGACGAACTGATGAACTGAAACAGAGCCCGAAACAGAGTGGAGAGGACATGCTGAATTCATAGAGCGCAACACTTTTTATTCAAATATACATCACTACGATTACAAATGGTGCCCAATCTATTCACTTACGACTAATTATCATCACATAAACAAATGCGAGAGCAATTACACAAACATAAAAAAGTCCGGCCATCAGCCCCATCAAATTGCCCTGCTTCTGCAATTCGATGAGTTTTTTCATCTGCTTGTTCAGCTTCTTCAGCTCTGCCGTCACTACTGCATCCCCCACAGTAGCCCCAATGGAATGGGCAGATCCAGGGGCCCCAGATCCAGACGAGCCCGATCCAAACTTGCCCAACTTCTCCGCCTCCAACGGTAAATCGAGCTCCCCTGATGCACCCTCCAGTTGAATCCGCTCTATGTACTCATCTAGCCACTCAAAATGGGTGCATTGCTTCAATTTCTGAAATTGGGAAAGATGAACCCTAAATCCCCTAATCCGTTGAAAAATGGGGAAAAATTGGGCAAATATGAAATTGGGAGACAAAAACCAAAATTGGCATATTGAGAAGTAAAATCTCACCTTTCCCTGCTCTGGTTTGCTCTCGCATTTCACGAATTCCCGCCCAAGGTTGCCATTCTTGTCGGTCGTTGTGACTAGCCGCTTCAGGGGTGCGATACGTGGGCATGCAGGGCACCTTGTCATGGGCACTGCGCCATAGCGCGGCCAAGAGCGGCGGGAGGCTGAAGCGGAGCTCGACATTGCTAGGCCGCGGCCCGGAACGGCGTTGCTGCGCGTCGCCGCCGGAGAAGAAGATCAACAACGGTCGGGGAGGGGGGAAGGGGGGGAGGATGGGCTCGGGTGCTGCACGGCTCGGGCCACGGCTCGGTGTCCTCTTGTACCAATGCTGACCTGGATAAGTTAGTGGGTCCCACGCTGTGGGTCCTGCTCACCTGACCAATGCTGAGTTGGATAAGTTAGTGGGTCCCACGCTGTGGGTCCCGCTCACCTGATTCGAGTTTTAAACATGTGTCTTTGGATTAGGCAGCAGTGTCGCATGGGAGCTATTTTTTCCAACGCAGATGTCTCATGAGAGCTATTGCAGCCAACGACGTCGCATGAGAGACAATTCACACCAACGACGTCGCATGGGAGCTATTGACCCATGTGTGTGTGAGTGCTCTGCGTGCATTGTGTGCGTTTATGCTCTAGCATCTTAGCGTGACCGCATGAGTACGTGTATTGTGTGCGTGCGTCAGCTGCAGATTATTTCGATAAAGGCGTCAACTGCAGATGAACATAGGAGAAAGCATCTAATTTGGACTGGTTTTGGCAAAAGTGGCATTTTGGTCATCCAATCTATAGTATAATCTAAAATCAGGTAGAAAGGGCAAATCCTCAAGTTTCTGGCAACGTTATGGCAAATCATCAATGTCAATAAAAAGGAGGGCAAATCCTCAAAGTGCAGGGAAAGGTGTGGCAAATCCTCAAATTCCCCCTTTCTGATTATTGGGGATAGATGCTCCAGCTGATCCCGAATAACCAAATTGACATGTAGGAATCGCTTTTCAACCGGTCGGTGATGGCACATCAGGCTGTGGCAACAGCTCTCCGACTGGGGTCTGGCGACAGCGGCGACTCTTCAACAGAGCGGGGGTGGGTCCAATGACAACTCTTCGACGACACCTCTATAACGGCGATGTCTCTTTGTTGGACGGCTATTCGACAATGATCCTACGATGACGGCGCTCTCTGGTGGCGGTTCGATGACGGCGGCAATCCGACAGCGATCTGGCGCCCACTCCTCCCATTTCTTGCCATAAAAAACCGAACGAAAAATCAGAGGAAAAAGAATTAAGCTATAGAAGAGGCAGGTACAGTCAACCCCAAAATTGAGAACAATTCAACCTCAAAAGTGAGAATTTGACTATACCTGCCTCGTCTATAGTTTATTTTTTTTCCAGATCTTAAATGGCTTATAAATTGAGAATTTTTGTCAAATAGGGCAATATCGTTGTAAACATGAAACTTGGGATAAAAAAGAAAAATAACTTGGGAGCAACGATATGGTGCCCAGGATCTTCTACACCCGTGATGAAGAAGAAATTGAAAATAAATACTGAAAAAATTCAGAAATTTCCATTTTTTTTGTATGGTAGATAATTTGATGCGTGAGGTGCACTCTAAATTTCAGATTATTTTAATAAGTAATTTTTTTTACAAGCCCCAAATTTGTCTTTTTTGCCGAGAGCTACTCATATGTCCAAATTATCTGAAATTTGGAACCCACCTCATACACCAAATTATGTATTATGTTTTCTTTTTGATGAATTTTCTCATGATCGGGTGCAGATGAGGCTGGGCTGAGAAATGGATCTTTGAATATTATGATTATATTATTATTATCGTCGGGGTCAACCTCATCAATGGAGAAGGGTACCGCTGCTTAACTACTCTTGGTCCTCAATCGGCGTGTGCGTGGTTGAGGACTTCCTCGCAAGTCGCAACCACCGAACTTTCAGCCCAAACCTGAGCACAAATATCCGCGCCGATCCCCTTTTCTCTACCTCCGGCGCCCAAGTTCGCTGCCGCCCCCGCCACCTATATTTGCCGCCTCCGCCGTCTTCTGGCGCCGCGGGCCACCTACTCGAGCTCCTCTGCCGATCCTCCGGCGCCGTTTGGTCAAACCAGCCACTTCTCCTCTCCCTTGGGTTTGCCCGTTTTGATATCTTTATTAAACAGTGACGGGTTGACTGAGATCTGAATGTGGCGATTGGCTCATCACTGGAGCAATCTGCTTCTGCGAGATGATTGCTTTGACTCTTGAGTTTTATTTCTTGCTCAAGGATTGGTTTTGAAAGGTAAGATCTTGAATTTCTGTTACAAGGATATGAATTTGTTGAACATTGTCTATGTTTTTAACCATCCTAACAACATGTTGTGCATTCATTATCAGCCTGCAAGTTTGCTACATTTCCCAAGGAATCACTGTATTTTTGGTGGATCAACCTCATCAAGTTTGTCTCATGGTAGCCATATTGGGTTCTCTTGTTGGGTCATGTGCCAAAAAATTGCAACAAGTTATTACAGAAGAGCCTGCTCTTATTCTAGGGGTAAAAGAAGGCCTCAGAGAACTGCAGCGAATAATGATCCAAATGCGATGCTTCCTTAATGACGCTGAGGCAAGGAGGACAGAAGAAACAGCAGTTAACAATTGGCTTGGGGAGCTAAGAGATGCTATGTATCATGCTGATGATATTATTGACCTGGCAAGATCTGAAGGAGGCAAGCTACTAGTGGAACGTCCTTCATCATCAAGAAAGCCAACTAAATGTAGTGGTATTTCATTTTCCACTTGCATTCCTGTTGTTCAGAAGCGTCATAAGATTGCTGTTCAAATCCGAGACTTCAATGCCGATCTTGAGAAGATTTCAAAGTCGGGTGAAAGATTTTTAAAGCATCAGAATATGCAACCTAAAGCAGAAGTTCGTACTCTGAAGCATATGAGAACTAGTCACCTTGTGGAGCCTAATCTTGTGGGAAAGCACACTTTACATGCTTGCAAAAGATTGGTTGAACGGATTCTTACACATAAGGAAGAGAAGGCATACAAGGTTGGTATTGTTGGAACAGGAGGGGTTGGGAAGACAACTCTAGCTCAAAAAATATAGAATGCCGAAAACTTAAAAGGAGCCTTTAGCAACCAAGCATGGATTTGTGTTTCTCGGGATTACTCGGATATCACTCTTTTGAAAGAACTTCTTCGAAATTTTGGGGTACATCATGAGCAAGGCGAAACTTTGGGAGAGCTCAGCAGCAAGCTTGCTGCAGTCGTTCGGGGGAAAAGTTTCTTCCTTGTGCTAGATGATGTTTGGGAGCCTGAGGTGTGGACCAATGTACTTAGAACTCCTTTACATGCTGCTGCAGCTGGTGTAATTCTTGTAACCACTCGACATGATGCAGTTGCACATGCAATTGGAGTGGAGGATCTACATCAAGTTGATTCAATGTCAGCAGAGGTAGGATGGGAGCTGCTTTGGAAGAGTATGAACATCAGTGATGAAAGAGATGTGGAGGACCTTCGGAATATAGGACTGGATATTATTCGTAAGTGTGGTGGACTTCCTCTTGCAATCAAGGTTACTGCTCGTGTTCTAGCAACTAAAGATAAAACTGAGAATGCGTGGAGGAAATTTATCAATAGAAGCGCTTGGTGTGTGGGCAATCTTCCTACTGAGCTCAGAGGTGCTTTGTATTTGAGTTATGATGACCTGCCACATCATCTGAAGCAGTGTTTCCTTTATTGTGCATTGTATCCTGAAGATTCAACTATGAGCCGTGATGATCTTGTCATGTTATGGGTTGCTGAAGGATTTATAGAGGAGCAGCATGGTCAACTACTAGAAGAAACAGCAGAAGAGTACTACTATGAGCTAATCCATTGGAATCTCCTCCAACCCGATGGTAGATATTTTGACCACATGAGATGCAAAATGCATGACCTCTTAAGGCAGCTTGCTTGTTATTTATCAAGGGAAGAATGCTTTATTGGAGACCCTGAATCTTTAGAGCCTACCAATATGTCAAAAATGTGACGCCTTACTGTTGTGACTAAGAAGGGTATATTAGTGTTACCTAGCATGGCTAATGAGGAAGCTAGGGTGAGGACCTTCCAAACTGATCAGCAGCCACGGAGAGTTGAGGATACATTTTTCATGAGATTTCCGTACCTCAGAATTTTGGAACTGAGTGACTCGCTTGTGCAGAGCATCCCAGATTATATTGGAAAACTGATATATCCACGTCTACTTGATCTTGATGGTACTTGTGTATCTTGTCTTCCGGAGTCCATCAGCTCTCTTATAAACCTTCAGATACTGAACTTGCAAAGGTGTCAAGATCTGCACAGCCTTCCATTAGCAATCACTAGATTGTCCAATTTAAGGCGCCTTGGTCTCGCTGGTACACCAATCAATCAGGTTCCAGAAGGGGTAGGTAGACTGAAACATCTCAATGATCTAGGAGGATTTCCTGTCGGTGGTGTAAGTGATGATGCGAAAACTCAGAATGGTTGGAAGCTGGAAGAATTGGAACATCTGTCACATCTAAGGCGGCTTGACCTGATCAAATTGGAAAGAGCAGCTCTTCATACCACAGGTTCAGTTCTAGCAGACAAAAGGTATCTCCATGTTCTGAATCTATCATGCACCGATCGCACAGATGTACTCCCTCCTTTCCATATTAGTTGTCGCTCAGACGGATGTATCTAGTACTGAAATATGTCTACATACATCCGTTTCAGCGACAACTAATATGGAACGGAGGGAGTACCATATTCAGAAGAAGATGTTAGCAATACTGAGAAGATCCTTGAGCAGTTAGTCCCTCCACAAAACCTGGAAGATCTACTTATTAATGGATTCTTTGGTCGTAGGTATCCAACCTGGCTTGGCACTACCCATTTGTCTTCACTGAAACACTTGAAACTCGTAGATTGCAAAACCTGTGTGTATCTTCCACCAATTGGGCAGCTAGCCAACCTGAGATATCTGAAAATTGATGGAACAACCAAAGTTACCAAGATCGGACCCGAATTTGTGGGTTGCAGGGGGGCTAGGGCTAATCCGAGGTCCATGGTGTCAGTTGCTTTCCCCAAGCTCGAAGTGCTTGTCATCAGGGATTTGCCCAACTGGGAGGATTGGTCCTTTATTGAAGATGCAGCAGGAGCAGCAGCCACAGAAGGGGGTGGGGATATATATGCCGAGATGCGAAAAGGGGAAGCCCTGTCTCCAAGGTTGCATCTGCTGCCCCGTTTGAAGAAGATGGAACTTGGGGGCTGCCCCAAGCTGAGGGCTCTCCCACGACAGCCTGGACGACATGCCACCAGCTTGAAAGAGCTCCATTTAAGAGGAGCAAGTTGCTTGAAGGTGGTGGAGGACCTCCAGTTCCTCTCTGAGAAACTTCTGATTGTAGGTTGTGAGGGCCTGGAAAGAGTATCGAACCTTCCTCAAGTGAGAGAGTTACGGCTACATGATTCTCCAAACCTGAGGCGTGTTGAGGGGTTGGGTAGTTTGCAACAGCTGTGGCTGACCAAGAATATGCGTGACATCCCTGTGCTTTGGATGTTGGGGCTTCAAGAGCAGCACCGGGAGCTTCACGGCGAAGACGTGGATGTCTGCACATGGTGTAAAGGCTGAGACAAACCCAGTGAGATGCAACAGAGACACGGTATGAAGCTTGAATAGTGGTTAGATTTTAATTTTCTATTTGGTATTAGCGATCTGCTCTGAAATCTGCAGTTCACATTGGAGACTTGTGTGCTTTCCATCATGTATTTCCGTTAGTGTGGTGCAGTCAATCCAGGTCAATGTAGAGAACGTTCTTCAACTTCTATACTGATATTGATCGACAGCGTTTCTATGCAGTTGCTCCATCACTTGCTTACTGCTTTCCTCCTTAAAGCAAACCACTCGCTGCTGCTATTTTGTACTCCCTCCGTTCCAAATTACTTGACCTCCATTTGTCTAGACACGAATGTATCTCTACTTGTCTAGATACATTCGTATCTAGACAAATGGAGGTCAAGTAATTTGGAACGGAGGGAGTACCTCACAGTAGTGAAACAGTGTTAATGTCCTCCTAACAAACACCCATTCCCGGCTTATGTTGAACTCATACATATCCTGAAATAACTTACTACTAGCTTCAAATAGTTGCATCTGTTTTTTTTTTCACATTTAACCTTCTGTCCATTGCAATTGACAGGAATACACCTCTTTCAGTAAGAATGGCAGAAGCACAACAAAGCGACATGTGTCCCTTTCCGCCAACGCTCATAGTGGAAAGCACTTTCCGCCATACCTTATGGCGGAATGTACACGTGTCATCCGACCAGAAGTCATGAGTGACAAGAAGAAGTCGGCAAAGAAATGGCAAGATTCAGGCATGAACAAAATAAGTAAGGCGCGGAAACATGTCATACTCTGAAACATGTCAGCAACTTGGATGATAGTCTTAATTGTTTTAGTTAGTTCATCGAAATATTGTCATCCAGTTATACAACTAAACGGCTGTACCTAGCGGTTATATTGAATTTGAACATTTTTTGGGGGGAACCTTGAATTCCTGTCCTCGCAATCCTGGGCCCGCCACTGCCAGCTGCTCCAGAATGCAGGTGATCACCTCTGTCATCGTTGCTTTCCGCCCTTCCCGGAAGTTCCAGATCTCATTCATGATGCACCGCTCGTCAGGACTATACTTGTTGAGCTCTCTCAGTGCATCCTTCACTGCATTGCAGACCCTGTCGCCATACTGAAACCGCAGATTGCTTAGTTTTGGATCATTGTCATCTATAACCTCCTGCAATTGCCAAAATCACCCTAGTGATTGTTCACACAAAATTCAGAGAAATGTAAGTGCATGAATGCTGTAAGGAAAATGGATAGACACCTTATCTTCTTCATCGACCTGAATATTAGTAAACGGACGCCATGATGGCTTCTGTATTTCCTCCTGCCAATACAGGACCAACCTTGCAGCTTTGCCCTCTGGATCATTGTCCCTGTATTTCAAATTGCATGCGGCACGAAAAGGATTTTCATCAAGTTGGCCCATCCTTTTGATTCCAACAACGGCACCCCCACTAATCGGCATGTTCTCAAAACCCTGCACATTTGGACATTATCATCATCATTTCAATGAGGAATACCTCTAGCAATAATGTAACTCCTCCCAATGAGGAAAACAGAGCAACTAGAATTTTAAAAAACTGAAAGGCTTTTACTTTTACCTGAATCAACTCATGGCGATTCTCTTGGAGCTCTTTGTTGTTAGCCTGCTCTCTTTTGAAGAGGTCTAGCAATGGAACTTTCATCCTTTTCCCTTCCTCATCCAGAATATTTCTCACATTCGTCATTACTGCATAAAGACGTTGATGGTCTTCCTTTGCGAGCTTCTCCCCTGCTTGTAGTTTCATGTTCAGCTGCCGTGCGGTGAGCACTAGGGCTTTATCCCTTTGCTCCAGTTGCCTCTCAAGTTGAATTAGCTTGGCATGAATAGCCTCCATCTCTTGCTACAGGGCGAGTTCTAGCATGGTCAGCTACTTTGATGGAGCTACTAAGAATTTGATGCAGATGAGCTTATTGATTGTCCTATCAAAGAGAAGAAGAAACCTTGTGGCTTTCATGCAGCATTTGTAAAAAGACATTGTAGAGCTGAGTTAAAAAGTTGAGCACTCTGAAAGTAAGACAGTATTTTAGAGTTCAGGTGAAAAATGGCATGAGCCTACCTTCTCCAGCTCCAGCAATTCTGCAATCTTCTCCATCTTCCACTCGAGCTCTTTCGTCGCGGCGTCCAGTTCAGCTCTGAGCCTCTGATTCTGCTCCTCCGGATCCTCACAGTTCAGCTGTGGTATGATCTCGTCAGATATGATCCTCAGCTCTGGCAGGTAACCACTCAACGATTAACATTTGCCTAAGTAATCAGATCATTATCGAGCTCACAGCAAGAGCAATCCATGGATTATTACCGGCGAGCTCGTCGACGAGGCAGCTAATGTCCTGCTCCGCCGCCCGCACCGCCGCGGACGCCTCCTCGCACCTAGCCTCCAGGAGCCTCGCCCTCGCGTCGTACTCGTCGGCGATGGCGTCCTCGGCCCTCTTCACCGCGGCGGCCAGTAAACTCCCCGCGGCATCATCCCTGCGCAGGTGCAGGAAGTGGTTGTCGGCCTCGGGCGACACCGCTTCCTGGGCTGGCGCAGCGGTCGTGACGGCGGCCGGGTGCTGCTGGGCCTGGGCGTCGGAGGCCAGGGCGCTCTCAGTGGCTAGGTGGTGGTGCGCGTCGGAGGCCAGGGCGCTCTCGGCAGCGAGGTGGTGGTGCGCGTCGGATGCCAGGGCGCTCTCGGCGGCGGGGAGGTGCTGCGCGTCGGAGGCCAGGGCGCTCTCGGCGGTGGGGTGGTGCTGCGCGTCGAAGGCGATGGCGTCGAGGACCTCGCCGGCGTCGGCGTTTGCGTCGACCATGGGCACGTCGTCGTCGTTTGACATGCAAATGCAGAGTGGGTTTGCGTTGGGTAGGATGGATTTGCACTTTGTGTAGTACTAGTTCAGTCGATGGTTTATTAAATTCAGCGCATTTCTTTTACAAAGCTTTCTTTATCATACCATCTTCATGCACAAATATCTTCTCTAGAACTATTTTAAGCACTCATGAACACGTTGAAACTCTAAGTCTGACCGCATGGTCTGGCAGCAACGGCAAGCACCATAAACAATTGTAACATCCCAAAATTCTAAATTTTGGAATGTTATAATAAATAGGTGGTTGTGATTGATTGTTTGATTGATTGTGTGAAGTTGAGTGAATTTTTTTTGAAAGTTAAATGAGAGGGAATAAAAGGACTTTCCCAAGCTTTCATCTTTGCCTTGTGATCTCCGTGAATTCAAACTCTTTTCAAATACAAAACCCTAGAGAGAAGATGACATGACTTCTTCCATTTTAATAAATGAAAAGGGTTTTTGAAAATATTTGAATTTCACTTGGAAATATTTCAAATTCCGAAACTTCAAGCAACTCAATGATTTTCATGAGAGAAGATAAAATGATTTCTTCAAACATATGAAATATGAGTTGGGAGTTTAAAAGAAATCCAATTTAAAGTCCTTTTGAAATTATTTTCAATTGGGAGTTATTTGGGTTTTATTCAAATTATTTTTCTCCAAAAAATAAAATATATGGAAATTAGGGTAAAATGATTCCCTACATCAGAAAATTGGAGAGAAATAAATTTGAATTAATTTTGGTATTTTTAAAATGATTTTTGTTGGATTTTATTAGAGGAGTGGCACTCTTTGATTTATTTAAATTTCTGTGGATTTTATTTGACATTAGAAAAATGTTCAGGTTGTAGGAAATCTTTTTCTGAAAATTTTGATATATTATATGCCTTTGTTGTATTTTTATTTTATTGGTATAGTTTTATTTTTATTCGTGTGGAAATGTTTTCTTTTAAATTCCCCTTTGCCGACTGGGCCGGCCCAGCGCCCGAGCCAGGCCGCGGCCCAACAGCCCGCGCCCGCACCGCCTTCCTCCTCCTGACCGGACTCCGCCCGCACGGCATCGCCGGCGCCGTACGCCGCCTGGACGCCCGTGCCGCCTTGCCCCCTCCTCCACGCCTCCCGAGGCCGCCTCCCTGCCTTTATAAGCGCGCCCCGACCCCCCCGGGCCCCGCCTCTCTCTCCTCCCCGCATCTTGCCGAAAACATACGCCGCCGTCGAGATCCTCCCGCCGCCGCCCGCTCCGTCTAGTCCCCCTCGACCTCTGTCGACTCCGCCCTCATCTCCGCCGCGTCGAGTCGCCCCTTCCCGAGCACTCAGCCGCCTTCTCCGACCACCGGAACCATCGCCCCGACCGGACCCGAGCCGCTGCCGCCGCCGTCTTCTTCACCGACGACATCGCGGCCGCCGTGGTAAGTCGTCGTCGCCGCCCACTGTCAGATCTAAAACCCACGTCCCGGATTAGATCTAGCTTTTTTCTTTTCGAATCGGTATGTGCTATTTAGCGGGTGTTCGTTGTTTAGTTTCCGCAGCAGATGGTTCTCAGGCAGTAGAATACTGCCACGTGTCCAGGGACCCAGTTGTAGATATAAGTTTCATAGATTAGTCCCTGGATTTTTTAGAATAGCCCCTGGTTTTCAAAGACTCGCAACTTTTTACCCACTTGTCCAAATCCAACGAAACCAACGCCAAATTCTTCGTTATGATCCCCTCTATCCATATTAACAACTTAAACATGTTTTTGAAAGTTTTAAAATTTGTATTCAAACAGATTTGAATTTGAATCTTTTTTTGATTGTAACTTGAGTTTTGTAGCTCCGTTTGAGTTGATTCTTTTTGCAAATCGAAGCTCTTGACCTAAACTTTCTGATAAGGCCAAATTCACTTAATTTTGGTACTGTTAGAAATTGTTTTCTGTTGCAAGAGTCATTTGCTTGGTTTCGAAGTTTTCCGAATTGTTTTGTTCGTTCTTTCCAATCTTTTGAGTGATTGCTTATGTGTGGTTACTATTATTTGCTTACGATAGATTGAACGGAGTGTGACGAATAGAACTATTAGGAATTGAGTGCGCATCATCTTCATCAACAGTACAGGCAAGTTCACACTTTGATCATACCCCTTTCATACCCAGTTTCTATGCATTAGTTTTACCCTCAAACATTGCATGGTTAGGAATTGATAACATGTGGGTATTGGGAAGTAATTGATGAGGTAGAACCTATTGCCCTGTTTATTACCAAACCCTTGGGAGTTACTTCAACGTTATGCTTAATACTACTATGCTATGCTCGTAGACGTGGATTGGGTTTGAGTGTATCCATGATAGGTGTGAGATTGTTAATTAATGGTTAACTTAAGGTGGCAACTTTAATACACATCTGGGTGGATTGAGGCACCTGGGGAATCCAGTGTTGCCTGTTTTTTTGGAAATCCCGGGGTTCCGTGTGATTTTCCTATGGACCGCCACCCAGGCTCAAAGGGATCATAAGATTATTCATGCTAGAAACTTCCGTGTGCAGCCACAAGCTATTATGGGCTCTAACATAGTTGATTAAGTCATGTGAACTCTTACAGTGGTAGACTAGCAGATGTAGGGGAAAGTAGTGTAACTGTCTACCCATCGTAAGGTGCTAATGCTTCTGAAAGACTGTGTCTCGGTCATCCGTTCACTAGTAGAAAAAGGGTCAAACGTGAAGCACATTAGTGCCGGTTTGTATTAGAGCCGGCACAAATGTATACATTAGTGCCGGTTCCGACGGCTAGCCGGGCCGCTCTCATTAGTACCGGTTCGTGGCTAACCTTTAGCACCGGTTCGTGCCACGAACCGGTACTAATGAGAGTGGTGGCAGGATAATGTCAGTCTGGGCCCCCTCCAGCACCTTTAGTACCGGTTCGTGCCACGAACCGGTACTATAGGTCCTCCTGCATATAAACCCTTCGTCCAGCTCGCTCTGTTCTTCCCCCTTTCCCCTCTCGTCTCCTCTCTATTCTTCCTCTTTTCCCCTCGAGCTCATCACACATTTTGCCCAAAATTTGTCAAGATTTGAAGGCCCCCATCCATTCAAGTGATCACAAAGGTTAGCAACTTTGTCCTTTCATCTCTCATTGCTAGATTAGCTCTTGCAATGCTTTATATAGTTATTAATTTGTGAGTTTAGTAATTTGGGAGGAAATATATATATGTGCTAGTATTTGATTTATATGCAATTTGAGGTCAAAAATAACACTTAGTTTGCATATGTAGGTGTGGTTTACTTAGTGCCTTCTAAATCTCCATCGTAACCACCGTCGATCGCCCGCACCGTCCCGTCGCCGGCACCACCTTGTGGTGAGCCTCTTGTTCATGAAATTTTATATAAAAAATTGATGTTTGTCTGATTTGGATATATAGTTACTCGTATAATAATTATCTTACCCGTACGTTGTTTGTTATACATAGTGGCATGGTTTTGATATCCGTCCCCATCGGCCCTCGTCCTTGTTATGATTCGGATGTGGTATATTCTCTTTTAAAACTATTTGTTGCATTTCGTGTTTATGACAAATTATGCCCATCAAGTTGACATAGATATTTTTATCTAGGAGGTATGTGAACCGAAAATTCCAACCGACCCTATTGTCGAGAGGTTAAATTTAGTTGAAAGAGAAAACGAGTACTTGAAAGAAAAATTGAAAAGAATTGAGGGGGAGAAGATGGAATTGGAGTTGCATGGTTCCGATGTCGTCGATGACCACAAGATCAAGATGGAGAAAATGCGCTTGAAGATTAGAAAGATTAGAAAATATGCCATCGATAGTGAGGCTTGGTATCATTATGCTGTTGGATCAATTGTTACCTTAGTTGCGATCTTGATCGCATTTGTTGTTGCATTTAAATGCTTTAGCTAGAGAGTTATTTGTTTGTTGCATTTAAGTGTTGTATGAACTTTATGTATGAACTTGTATTAATTTGGTCTATTCGGTGTTGTGTAATGAAGATGAGCCGGCAATGGATGTACGATGACCGATGCTCTCC